TAGGCTAAATGATTATTTAATTGTCAGAAGAATTGTAAAAAATTGATTTACGAAATATACGTTTAAACATACTACCTGTATACTTCATACACAAACGTATGTACATATCACACAAAACAAAACTTAAAATATGAAAAAGGCAATTTTAAGTATTTTGATACATAGTTTCATTTTATTTATTTCCACGTCAAGAAAAACGTTTAAGTGAACACTTGATATAAACGTTTGCTTACAGCTGTATGAATTTACTATGATTTTAAGAAATAAGTGGGTAATTATACTAGTTGACACTGTTATGTGTGTTTGTCTATATTTAAAACAAATGTATTACTTTGTCAAAAAAAACGGTTATTTAAAAAACGTTTACATGAAACAAATGCTTGAACATGTTTCATATCTACGTATTTTACATAAAAACGTTTGCACGGACTATAGAACAAAATTTTAAAATATAAATAAATTTTAAGTGTCTTGAAACACAGTTAAATTTTAAGAAATCATGGAACATTTCCCTGATGTGATCGCACTAAATTCTACCAACATTTCTATGTTGTATTCTCCAGTCGCATCGCAGATTATGCAGTTTTGCTTGCATTCTGCGTCGCGGCTCGCCTTCAATTGTTTTCGCTGAACGTCCCTTTGATTTCCGTTTTCCGCGAAACTGGATAACGCCCCGCCGAACTGAAAGGCTTCAATACAATAAAGAAACGCGATGCCGAAGCCCTCGAATACCGCTACATCCGGTCGAGCGAGCATTTTTATAGCCTCCACACTGAGAAAAGGGTTTCGTTGAAACTAGCACTTCGGACAATTTTCTGTGTACCTACACTTAGAAGAATATTAACAGAATTTCTTTAAAATTTCAAACTGTTAATGCCACGTGGCTAATTTTTGTTTAAGTTGGTAATATGCATATACCTATAACAAAAGAATGTGTAATACAAGAAATATTTTTTTTAAATAAACCATGGCAGTACATCAGAAAATTATGAATAATGTCAAAATATTCTCTGAAATGCATGAATTTATTATTTTAGTTATCTAAATTCTTCAATGACTTTTATATAATGTATACTAAGAGATTCCTACAAAAATTAATCAAGTGGTCTGCGGTCAGGAGATTTCGCTGGCCAAATAATATATTTTTCGCCTAAAATGGACACAAAGTACGTTCATTGATTTTGGAAGATTCTGTATATTTCTGTCAATGTTTGTAACAATTTTTTTTTTTTTTCTAAAAATGTTACCAGCTGTCTATTTTTTGTTCGGTTTTTTGCCTGCCCCGTATTTGTCGCCTCAGCGGGGCCGGCTCGGCTCGCGTGGGTATTTATTAAATGAAAACTGGTAATTTGAGGGGTGTCGCGTGTCGCGCGGGGGCGCTCTCCGCCCCTAAAAAACACCCCAGCAATAATAGCGGAATAACGACGGAAGCTCCAGTTTAAATACCCCGGCAGAGCCACATATGACAACAGGCTGCTTCCAGCTTTTTGGAAACGGAAGTGGATCTTTCGACTTGTGCCGTTTGTCTGTCGCCGCGCACCCCTCCTGATGGATGCGTGCGACCCCCGAGGAGCACGTGCCCAACCCCGTCTATTTATGACGACTGCGTAAATTACCTTGACACTAACAAAGTCAATACAACGCTAAAAATAACCGGCCGCTCTCGGTTTCGTCGTCTTTCCGTAAACTCGTCGGGAGGTAATCCACCAGGCGACGGAAGGCTGTGGGGCCCGGCCGGGAATATCGCCAGGTACAAAGGGTGTTCGCGGATATTCCGAAAAACATAGAGGAAGTAAAAATAATGACAATTTGCTAAACAGGTTGTTACTTTGACATGTTTTTTATGAATAACATTTTATAAAACAGTAAAAGAATTGTTTTAGAAAATAAATTAGTTTTACTTGTCTCTAGTTACAACATACAGTCTGTTGGATGCACTAAACTTTCTTCTGTTACGGAAAATTCTATTAGGATAACGTTGCAGATATAATTGTAAAGCTAAAGCTGCTGCACTGTTTTTTCTACATAATAAACCTGCAGCATATAAAATTTTTCATTAAAAGCATTCATTTTGTTACAAGTTAAACTTGATAGGTGACAACAATTACAAACAAACCTATATGTGACAGATAGTCGCATTGAAATGATTCAACATAAATTTGTTAAATTTTTTTCTTTTAAATGTAGGCGAACTTTGAACGACAACAATTTTCATATATTGTGTGTTGAATCTATTATAAATTTAGCTAAGAGAAGAGTATTAGCGGATGTCATTAACCTGTATAAAATTATTAATGGTAAAATCGACTGTGTCCAATTAGTAAAATATTATTTAATATACCATGCAGGCCCTTTAGGTCCTACGACTTTCATTCCTTTTAAGCATACCAATGCCTCCGCAAACTCTCCTGTGTTCAGTATGATGAGTTCTTATAACGATATTTGTAGCAGTTTAAATTTATTCTCTACATCTTTAGTTTCATTAAGAGATTGCTCAAACGTATACTTCTTTTATAATATTTTTATGCTATTCTTTTTATGATGTTTTTCTTTTATAATATTTTTTATGCTATTTATATTTTAAAACTCTTTTTATACTGTTGTTTGATGTATATCTGTTAATTTAGTGGACACTTTAGTGGGCTTTTTCGCCTGTTTGTGTCGAAAATGGTAAATAAAAATAAATAAATAAATAAATAGCCGTATGCGAAATTGTTTTTCCAGCGCCTTCTATTTCATGTGATTTCGAGAGCGATCACCGTAAACTAAAGTCACGGGCTAAAAGTTTTCTCATTTTTTTCTCAAAAATTTCGTTATGTAAATCAATCAAAACGTGCAAAATACAATCCCATTTAAAAAATATCGATGACGTCACCACTCATCTACAGTGTGACGAAAATAAAAGTGTTGTGCGTCACTATAAAGAAAATAATATCCCATTTAAAATATACAGTGTGTCTACTTAAGTTGGAACCATATGGAAAACTTTTTTATTATTGGTTTTATGACAATAAGTTATTCTTCATAAAAAGTTCTGCATCATCCTAAATCTAAAATACAACCTTCAGTTATCAAAATTAGAAATTATGAATTTTGCTCAAGAGTAAAGTACCTTTATTTTTGACAATACAGAAGAATGTTATAAAGAAAAATTATTATGAATTAAAAGTTATTTTCAAATATGCAATTACAGTCATATAGCATGAAGATTCAGGTTTTGTGATTATTTACGTTTTTCTTTATAAATTTATTTTATTTATTATTTCCATTTGTTAACGTTTATAATTTTATTTATTATTTCCATTTGTTAATGTTTATAAACAACTTTGCAATTTAATTATAATAATAATACAAATAATTTATAATGTAAAACGTAAATAATCACAAAATCTGAATCTTCATGCTGAATAGCTGTATTTGAAAATAACTTTTAATTCAAAATAACTTTTCTTCACAACACTCTTCTGTATTGTCAAAAATAAGGGTACTTTACACTTGAGCAAAATTCATAATTTCTGATATACCTGGTATATGACTGGCAAATTTTGATAACTGAACGAAGCAACTTAGATTATAGGCAATGCAGAACTTTTTATGAAGAATAACTTTTTTTCATAAAATCAATAATAAAAATGTTTTCCATATGGTTCCAACTTAAGTAGACACACTGTACATATATATACTTTACAGGATGCCCAAAAATGGGCAGTCAAGTTAGCTCGGGACCTTTATAACCAAACATACTGTATACCTATTCACATACCAATAGTAGTTAATATTTATTAAATAATGTGAAATATAATTATGAACAAAAATTAGATATGTATTATTATCTTATTAATTTGAATAATAATACAATCTAGTTGTAGTTATTTCTCCGTTCATACATTTTTTTCGTCTTAGTTTAACAGTAGTTTTACGTTTCAATATCACATACCTATAACGGCGTGTTGATGCGGCGTCGTCGTTACGGACCGAACGAAAAGCATCCGAATGGACCTTGTATACGCGCTCGGGAGATAATATCAATCGATTCGAAAATAAAAGGCCATCGAACAGCAGCAACAATGTGCTGTAGGTTGCGTTTAATTATATAAAACAACTAACTGATATAAACAGTTACTATAGCGCTGCGTACCTATATAAATAAACGTGCCGAAATAAATGAAAGAGTAACTTCAACAAACCATTCAGCGTATAGCCTAATAGTTAGCAGATGATGCGGCGCGTTCTAAATTTAATTATACTTGTATTTACAATGGGAATAAAAAGCGACCGCGGACAGAGCTGGCTTTCGTGTTACATTTATATAACAATGTAATAAGACTACATGGAGAAAAGCGATCTATTATGGCTGGCGATTTGTTGCTGCGGTCGGGCCTTTTGCTTTGAGACACGTTCATTTTCTTCAAAGCATTCAAATGACAAAGTCTACTCTAGCTAATACTGTATGACGTTCGTATATTAAAAAGTCGATTTAATTGAAAGTGGCGGTCATTTAATAAATTCCGCTCGGTCGGGAACGATCGATACCACCAATTCATTAAACACGATAGCTCGCGGTAGCATCGGATTAGTTAGTAATAACGAGCCCTCAATAAGTAATAACTACGCGAGCGATCGATACCGACCGCTTCTCGGCAGCGGCGCGTATTCAACCGTCAAATCGCGTCACCTCGACCGGATTGCTCCAGGTAGGTACTCGCCCGAACAAAAGGAGCAGGCCGAGTGACAGGTCGGGCCTGTTATGGGTTATGGATATGGAATCTGGGCGGGCACAAGGCGGGGATTATGAGTGTGCAACAAGTGTGTTTTATTTATGAATGTAGACGCCGCCCAGCTGTCATAACCGGGGCCCTGGCTGGCTCTTTGCAGGCACTTTATCATCTCTCGCGCCTGCTCCCGGACCCTCATATCTGCCCCTCCACTTTCATATCTCATTTAATAATATCTCGGCCTATGCTGCTATGCGAGCTCCCACCCCGCTTTATTACTCCGCGATGTATTCGAGTGAGCAGACGTACTTGCTGTTTCGCCTTTTTACCCGCCCGACTGACGAGAGTGTCTTGTTTTCAGATGTGGACGCCGCGTCCGAGGGCCTGCCGGAGGTGCTGATGTGCCAGCGGTGCCAGGAGCAGTTCACCGAGCTCCAGGAGTACCTCACGCACAAGGCCGAGTGCGACAAGAAGGCCATCAAACACGACGACCCTGCCCATTCCGATCCCGAGGATATGGTGGTGTCCGAAGAAGACGACGACGACGACGAGACTGGCGGGAAGAGGCTGGAACGCATGCGACGCCACCGTCAAGACGCCGCCAACAACAACAGCGTGGAGGAGAACTCTCCGGACGACAACAGTCAGAGACTGGGGTTCCCTTTTTCTGTGCCCGCCGCCCCCGGCCACGTGACGCTCGAGGCGCTGCAGAATACCAAGGTGGCCGTGGCGCAATTCGCCGCCACCGCTATGGCGAATAACACCGACAACGAGGCGGCTTTACAAGAACTGGCGGTGTTGCAGAGTACCCTATTCACGCTGCAACACCAACAAGTGCTTCAGCTGCAACTGATAAATCAACTCCAGCAGCAGTTGCAGATAGACAGGACTAAGGAGGACGAGGAAGTCTCACCCGTATCGCCGCCGCCTTCAGAGAACGAAGCAGAAACGACGCCTGAGTCACCGCCCGCACCTCAGGCTATACCAGCGTCGAGAGAACCCACCCCCGCATCCCTACCACCTCAGATGAGTCACTCTATGATGCAGCAATCCCCGGTGTCGGGACCGTCGCCAGAAGTGAGCGCCCCGCCGTCTTTGCCCCCACAGATCCAACCCCCGATGTGTTCAATATCGTCCTCTCTAGCATCCACCATAATCACGCATACAGACGAACAGCCTTCCTTGGACGAACCTAACACTTTGGAAATGCTACAGAAAAGAGCGCAGGAAGTGTTAGACAACGCCAGTCAAGGCCTGTTGGCTACGAATCTGGCCGACGAGTTGGCATTTAGGAAAAGTAAAGGATCCATGTCGCCCTACGACTCTAAAGGCAGGAACGAACCGTTCTTCAAGCACCGCTGCAGGTACTGCGGTAAAGTGTTCGGGTCAGACTCTGCTCTTCAAATACATATCCGTTCTCACACAGGAGAACGCCCCTACAAGTGCAATGTATGTGGTAGTCGCTTCACCACTAAAGGAAACTTAAAGGTCCACTTCCAGAGACACAGTCAGAAATTCCCTCATATCAAGATGAACCCCAATCCCGTACCGGAACACTTAGATAAGTACCACCCGCCTCTGCTCGCCCAACTAGGTCAGCAACCGTCTTTGTCGCCAGGAGGTCCCCCACATCCCCCGCATTTGGGTTTTCCTGGAGCCCACCCTTACCCCCCTACCTCCTTGCCGTTGTTCAGGCCGCAAGGACCTCCGCCTCCAGAACTGTTAAATAGCAGACTTCAGCCCTCGCCGCACAGACTACAGGAACCGCCCCCTAGACTGTTTCCTCCCCATCCCTTGTTTATGAAGCGGGAGGAACAAGACACGCCGGCGGACTTGAGTAAACCGCAAAGATCGCCCACTCCTGAGGGAAAAAACGAGAAAAACGAACAGGAAGATAAACGAGAACCAAACGAAGACGCTAAAGCTATATCGGTTCCCCAAATAACCCCTAAACAAGAACCAAGTTACACCGATAACGAAAACGAGAACGAGCCTGAAAGGTATTCTTCTCCCATTCCCTACGACGAGTGTAGCAACAGCAGTAAATACAGCAACGAGGATATTTTGGAGCAGCGGAGTCCAGGTGCAGAGCAGTCGGAAAATATGCAAGATGAACCAGAGAACTTATCAAACAGGAGCAGTTCTATCACTGTACCCTTGAGTATTTCTACAGGACAGAGACTACCCGCTAGTTTCTCCTTTGGGCACGCCAGTTCTCCACCTAGCAGCACCTCTTCGGGAAGTTTGGGACCTTTCCCTACTACTCCGCTCGCGGATATTACTAAGGATCCTTCCATGTACACAAACTTGTTGCCCAGGCCAGGCAGCAACGACAACTCCTGGGAGAGTCTGATTGAGATCACGAAAACCTCGGAGACTAGCAAATTACAACAACTGGTGGATAACATCGAACACAAACTCTCTGATCCGAACCAGTGCGTGATATGCCACAGAGTGCTGTCCTGCAAGAGCGCCTTGCAGATGCACTACAGAACGCATACAGGAGAAAGGCCCTTCAAGTGCAAGATATGCGGTCGCGCCTTCACCACCAAGGGCAACCTCAAGACGCACATGGGCGTGCACAGGGCCAAGCCTCCTATGAGGGTGCTCCACCAATGCCCAGTCTGTCACAAGAAATTCACCAACGCTCTGGTTTTGCAGCAACATATCCGCCTCCATACAGGCGAACCCACTGATCTCACCCCCGAGCAAATCCAGGCGGCGGAAATAAAAGACTTTCCTTCCCCAGGAGGCTTCCCGGGCCTCCCGAATTCCATGCATCCATTCCTCAGCCAGGGCTTCCCGGTGCCGGGGCTGTCTCCCTTGGGACACTCCGGGATACCCCTCAACATGAAGTTTGACAGAGACGTGAAATCGGAGCACGGGAGTATGGACGAAGACGATGACGACGACGATGATATGATGAGCAACTCGGAGCACCAGAATATTATGCCGCCGTTTTCGTCGTCTCCTTCTGATACGCATAACCCTTCTGTTCCGGTGAGCACGATGGCATCGCAGTTTTCCTTAGCAGGGTTGAGCTGTACGGCGGAAGATCTGTGTTCGAGTCGCGCCGTGGTCTCCACACCGCCCCCCATGCAGAACGGGGAGAAGTCGCCAAGTCAGTCGGGAGTTACCAGCCCGGGGAGTTCGGAAATTAGGTCGTCTCCAAACCAGACTCCCGTCCAGGTGAGTTTTCACGTCCCTAGGTACCTAGTATATCTTTAATGTATATCTACTATGGTTATTTAAAGTTATATGAAACAAATTATTTAAAGTTTAGAATTTCAAATAGATTTCTTTAAAAAGTCCCTTTATAGGCATATATAATTTTAAACTTTTATTTTCCAATGCTAAATTTATTATTCCTTTTTTAATGTGGTTATTGACAGATATTCATTTTTAATAATTTAATAGAACAATTATTTTTATTGATGTAAATATGTATTGAGTTTAAATATTTCGTACGAAACATATAGGAGATAATAAACTAACAACTCTTCTTTTTAAATTCATGATAATAATGATATTATGAGAAAAATTAGTCAGGACTGATTACTTACATAAAAACCTTTCTGAAAATATTGGTTTCAGCAGTTTTAATAATGGATAGGTCAAGAAACGATTTTTTATTTGTTTGTTCTTTTTTAATTGTGAATTGCAATTTTGGACGAGTCATTAAAGACGTTGAAAATATTTCTTGTTCAGTCTTGAACAACACAAGAAAGTATATCATCCACATATAATTTTAAAAATTGCAGTATTTCATGCAATTTTGTACAGAGGTAATGTCCATTTCCCAGACGATATATTTGTTTTTATACATATAGGGATAGTTAATTTTTATTATGTTTAAATATTGTACGTATTTATTGCATGTCAAAATTTTATACAAGTCCTGAGTCCTAAGGATGTAATAAAACAAGGAAACGTCGACAAACCATTATAGTGTTTTTTATACTTTCTGCTTAAATATTTTTATTAAAAATGACTTTCAGATACCACGCCCTCCATCATCTCAACAGGCCAGCAGCCCCACACCATCAGACAACTCAATGGGTGCATTGGACTTGACCCCAAGGAACAGTCAACCGACGATTACTAGTCCTGGACCAACGACTCCCGGTGCTGCGCCTCCATTATTTCCATCCTTTGGCTTGTTACCGTCAGGGGGACAATCACCTTTGATGTCGTCAGCTCTGTCATCGTTGACCTCATCTGTTTTGACCTCCACGTCGTTTAGTCCGTTGAGATTGGCAGTGGGACCCGTAGGAAGTCTAGGTGAGTGGGTCACTGTATTATTTCATGACAAAACGCTAGAATTGACTTCTGACGGATATTACGAGTATTTGTCTTGTCCTTTTGGTCTTGCAAATGCTTCGGCAATTTTGCAGACAAAATACAATAATAATTAAAACGTATTGTAATATTTTAAGGTACTACACGTATATTCGTCTCTAATTTAAAGTCAGAATAATGTTATTTATCCTAAAGAAAAACGTTTCTGTTTATTTTTAAACGTGTGGTAAACGACCTGTTCGCTAACAATAGTTCTTTCTCTCAGGACGAGGCAATACCACTTGCAACCTTTGCTTCAAGACGTTCGCCTGCAACTCTGCCCTAGAGATCCACTACAGGAGCCACACCAAAGAGAGGCCCTTCAAGTGTTCCGTATGCGACAGAGGCTTTTCCACCAAGGTAAGTGTCATGCTCTGTACTGCGTTCCAGTGGCTCTCAACATTTAAATTACAGTGCAACAAGCTCAAAAAAATGTTTACGAGTGTAGAATTCAGTGAAAACTGTGACTACTGTAAACATATGTAAATGTTTGATTCCAAATTTATATGTTAAAAAGGCTAACAATTTATACTTTCGTGAATTTTTAAAATATATTTTTACGAAAAGGCCTAAGGATTAAAGTATCTTGAAATATATTGAAATACGGATGTTTAAAAAAATTAACTAAATGTTGAACTACGTGAACTTTAAGGAAGATTTTCTATGTATAGTTTTTTTGAATGAAGGGACTATGAGTTTCGTTTTTTTTTATAAAGCCACTGAAGTAAGAGGAACCAAATTTTTCCTTTCATTTTTCTTTCAGAACTCAGAAAATTTTTCAAACTAAAGAATCTGATCAAATATGTTTTTTATTTTACGTTTCTGCCAAAATTTTCGTCTTTCTTTGGTTTTTTATTAAAGAGAAAGCTTCTTTCTAATTAGTTCATGTTTAAAATAAATTACTAAAATAATTTGTATTAACTATAAGCTCCTGAAAAATGAATTCTAAAAAAAAAACTGTGAAATATGCGCTGTATGTTATTTCGATTCCACGAGCATGGCAACAAGTTCTTGTAACGTGGTGTCATCGTAACCACCAGTTAAGAACCCCTGGTTCATTCGAATACGTGTGATTGAATTGACCGTTCTATTCTTGTCCACACAATAGAGTTGGAGACGTCTCAAATTAACTGTTGGCTTTCAGCCAGCCATAAGTTATGTCGAATGTCTAAGTGGTCTATTTTTGATTAAGAATCTCTTTTTTATGCTGACGCGGATTTTTCAGTTGTCGCCGTGGATTGCACCTAATTGCAGGCAAAAATGCAGACGAAATCCCCATCGTCGTTTCTTTACCGTGACGTATACGCGTTCACGAAAATCCAATTGCCTTAATAACAATTATAAATAACACTTAATATATGTACTAGTCACGTTTGTTCCATTTTTAAGTAGATATTATGAAATTCAAGTAATTCATAATTCATTAACTGTCAAGAACGATAGATGGCTGGGTCTATTTCGGAAGGCAAACAATAGATGACGCTTTACATGTGACTTTAACTGTTGCGCTAGCTTAAGATAGACCTAAACTTGTACTGATCGTCACCGAGTGAGACACCCGTTTTGTTGTGTTTCTGATCTGTGTGTGTCTTTCAGGAGGCTTGCGTTTGCAAGCAGAGGCGTATCCAGGATGAAGTGGAACCATGGAGGGCGAAAAAGCGCAAAGCCGCCCTTCGCCGGTCAATACCTTCTGTGTTTCCGTTACCGATGAGCCCTGGATACGCCTCCACGTGGATGCAAATGGCGGTAAGACCCGCCACCACATTCACACCACACACCAGCCAACGGCACTTTTTTCTGTTGCAGGGAAACATGAAGCAGCACATGCTCACGCACAAGATACGCGACATGCCGCAACACATGTTCGAGAACAAGCCGCCCTCGGTGAGCGGCGACGATTCCACCCCCCTGCCTCCCAGCCTGCCCTCCAGAGAACCGGCAAGCAGCGACGGAGAGCAGCAGCAGCACCAGCAGCAGCAACAGACGCCGCCGCAGGTCCTGCAACCTCCCCACCAGATCAAACCCGAACAAGAACCGCAGCAAATCAAAAGAGAACCCACAGAGACTGAGCTACCCCTTCCTAAGCGCCCCCCAAGTAAGTCACCAGTCCCTTCTACAATTTTTTTTTCACAAAAATGATTTAACACAGTGATGCAGAGTTGCAGGGCGAAAGTCCCCTGTAATATAATTTTAAAGCTCTTTCTTCAAACCTTTACTAGAAACTTGTATTTAAATATATAGTTAGGTAAATATCTAACCTCCTATTTCTTCAAAACAGCTGTTATGCCAGCAAAAACCAGATTAATTAATGAGAAAATGTACTCAGTAGCAATGGGAAACTTAATTAACATACAATACGAGGAATTAAAAATATTTTATCGACTGCGAAGGTATCTGTGTCAGTGATTGTTGCCAAGAATACAACCCGTCAGCGCAACAACAATCCACTACGCAAATTAACGTTTATTAATGCCATCGCTGTTGCTAAATCATTTTTTACATTGCAGGTGTTTATTTAGAGTTACGAAAACAACTTAATCGAAACAAAGCATTGGTGACGCAAAATATATTTTGTTAGGACTGTAATAACTACATCTCAGACTCGAACTCTAAAAAAATACCTGCCAAAAGATTAAGTGTACATAAAGACGATGCGCGGCGATACAAATTAACACTGTTGTCATCGCTTGCACTAACTTGAGCTAGGTTGAGGGCTAATGTGTGCGGTGTGTGTGTGTTTTGCAGGCTTACAATCAAGTAAGCACTTGTGCCACGTATGCAATAAGAACTTCTCGTCCAGTTCGGCCCTTCAAATTCATATGCGGACGCACACCGGCGACAAGCCCTTTCGATGCACCGTCTGCCAGAAGGCCTTCACCACCAAAGGCAACCTGAAGGTACGTAACACAGTACATTCGCCGGCTTTGCTTCACTAACGCAACCACTAACCAGGTGAGGAGGCACAGGAACGCCGTACGCCACTTAGTAAACGTTAATATACATCTATTAATGGTTAATATCCTGTTTGTTGCAGCAACGATATATTTATTACTGAGTAATATCCTGTTTGTTATAGCAACAACACGTTTATTAAAAGTTAATAAACTGTATATCGGACATTCTTGTGCTTCCTTCTGTAAAATTAAGCTATTAGTGCTTTTTGGGGGTAAAATGTGTACTAATTTGAGTTTTGTTGTACAGGTTCACATGGGAACGCATATGTGGAGCAACGGGGCGTCCCGACGAGGGCGACGCATGTCCCTAGACCTCCCTCCCATCCCCATGACGCCCAAGGATTCCGAATTTCTGCAGCGGAGGCCAGACCTCTTCTACCCGTACCTCCCGGCTCCATTCCTTAACGGAATGCAGCAAAAGGTACGATATAACCATCTCGCTTCGAATTAGAAACCAATGTTGTTGACTTTTTCAGCTGAACGAAATCTCGATGGTGCAGAATAGCCAGAACGGCATGGCAGGAGCCGGCAAGTACAGTGGCCTCCTCGGCTTCGGTTATCCGCCGCCAGAGGCCATCCGATCTCAGGCGAGCTCTCCCGAACGACCCGAGAGACCGCCCAGCCGCGAACCCGACACCACCCGAGGTCTGTGGGACCTGCACTTCGACAGGAAGACGACACCGGACACCTCCAGGGAGGACCTTTTGCCGGCCACTAGGGAGGGCCTAGCCGCCTGAGACCCCCTGAGTGGCTGCCATGTTCCTATTTTCAACTAGTCGTAGACCGTCGAGGTGCTTCACGATTCGGGACGGGGTAGACCGAGGGCGGAATATCTGGATTAGAAAAAAAAAACAGGAGTCAGGTTTAGCGCGGAATCTTTATTTTTCTCTTTGTTTCCAGAAATGGTTTCTGTATCAGTAAAATCCCGTCTACTTAGTCAATTGCAGTTGAATAAGGCTTTCGTGGTTATTACACCCTGTATACGGAATGTTTTATTAAGAATGGGACACAGGTTAATGGAGATTCGTAGAACCAAAATATGGGGCGATTGAATCTACCATGTTGCCTTTTTTTAACCGCAGGGTGGCAAATTTTATTTTCTTTTTAATTTTGGGAATTTTTGGTAACTATTCCACCAAACAAGTTGAAAATTTAAAAGGTAGGAATGTTTTTCTAGGACGAAAATTTTAAAAATGGTATTAAATTGGTGTTTCATTGGTAGAGATTCCTATGAAGCTTCTTTGTGCTTCATAAATTGACAATTCCGAAAATAAAAAAATAGTAATGAAAATTTAGTTTCAAATAAAACTGATATACCAGTTAAAACGCAAATAATTTTCAAAATACCAATGCCTTTTCATATTAATCGGGATATTAACTTGAAGATTTATTTAATTTCTTTGTATATTTTAATGTTTAAACCGTATTTAGTTACTTATATTTTTATCTTAATTAATATACCCCTGACACTTCCTGAAGGCATTATTATCCTATAATACCCGTGATACATTTAGCTTTAATGTGCTACTACTCAATTCGTATTTTTATATATAGCTAGTGACTAGCTAGTAAATCACAAACAAATGTTTGATGTTCTTTAATTTACATTGGCGTTAAAAGAGGTAATTTGTAATAACTTCCTATTATATTTCCATGATAATGCATTTTAAATTTGCCCTAGGGCGGTGTATATTTATACACGGTGTCCCAGAAAAATTCGAGCCCAAATAAAAAAAAGTTTAATATAAAAATTGTAGGATATCAGTAAATTAATATGCTGATGGTAACCTTGAATTTAACATTGAGCTTAAGTTTGAAAAAAAGGTTAAATCAAGCACAACTTGAAAATTTTAAATGAAGCTTTTCAAAGAACTATTGCTGGCATAAAAAATAGGATGTTTCTTTAATATTTTCAAGTTAACTTTGATTGACCTTGAAACTTAAACTGAAGGTCTCACTCACTCTATATATTCATAGCGCGCTAGGCTGTTGTTTTTCACATAATGTGTCTTAAATGAGGCTAACTTTTGTAAAATAGCAGGCTAGTAGGTAATTAAGGAAATTAATTTAACCATTGAGAAAAAAATTATTTATTCTGTCAAAAATGCAGCTATCAGAGTGTCAATAACCGAACAACTATTTTTAGAATCATATACAGGGTGATGTGGAAAAAGGAGCTACAAATTTATGGTTGCTGGAATATGAAGAAATAAGAACATTTGTCCTATAGACGTCAAAATTTTAAATCAAATTTTAACCAAATTATTTCCAAAAAAAAAACAAAAAGTAGGTATTAAAATTTGGTACAAGTAAGATTTCAAGTTCTTTACAGTGCATATGACATATTATAATACCTATCGACAACATACATCGACCAATGTTAACCATAAAACAGCTATGTAATAAAAAGTAATCGGGAAAGGTCGTAAATAGCGACCTCTGGCAGATGGATAGCAACTAATCACCTCAAAAACTTACTTATACCAAATATCAATACTTTACATTGTTTTCTGGAAAAGATGTGGGTAAGATTTCGAAATATAAGATTCTCAGGATCAGCTTCTGAATTTGTGGTGCATTTTTCCAAAAGACCCTTTATATTGATTTCGAATTCCTCTTGTTCCTAAATTAATTAGCCTCTTCAAATTTTACAAAACAAGTTGGTGTTCCTCTTTAACATACACTGAGCAAAAAATCGTGGGTTTCCCGAAAACTACTACTTTTTACTGCTTTCAATTAGTAAGTACTTAGTTTTATTAAAAAATAAATAAGTTTTCAATACTTTTGGTACTGTGTATTTAGGACTCTTTACCGATAAACACAAAATATGTGTTATTTTTGTAAGTATAAAAATTGTAGCTGATTGATGAAATAGTTTCCAAAATATTCCATTTTGAACTTTTTAACATTTCTTTCAAGGTATATTTCGCTTAATCGCCCTATTTTGTACTCTCCCATTAACGTAAGCCAAGTCTCATTCTTAATCAAGCATCCTGTATAATATTCTGGCCCCAATTATTGCGCTCTCCTCTACAGAACCCGCGGCAAACTCAAAAGTCTGCCGAGACGTTCCCTCCGACGAAAGTAAAACAAACGAAATCAAAACGGAGCACCTCGTGGCAAATGGATCGGGGCAATGACGCATACTGTGATACATCAGCTGTAACAGGCTGCCAGGCCAGCCAGGAGCACGCTGTGTAGTTATATATATTTAAAGAAAAAGAAATTACTATTAGGACCCTGTATTATATTAGCTAAGTGTACGATAACACCCACATATTCGTTTGCTGTGTTAAAAAAATATCGTTGTGTCCAATGGATGCCAGTAACTGCTAGCTTTACACACCCTGTAAATAAAGAATCTTCTAGTACGTAAAGGTCATTGTAATGTTATCCTAGATGTTGTCCATTTAATGCAGCATGGTCACATTCTATGTACATACCTATCACTATGTACCATGAGACTGTTTTTATTATTATTACTATCATTATTATTAGTTATCGATGTATGCTTAGACCCTTCCCTCCCCCTCCCCTAGTACAAACTCCCTTTCCCCTTATTTATGTAAAGAAAGAAATCACCAGTGAACAGGCTCCTATTCGTGTCTAAATTGGAGAAGAAAAACCTAAAGAGGAATAATATTGTTTGTAAACATGTAAGATTTTTAAACGATATCGCGTAAATGTAAGTACTTGAAATGTTTTTTATTTCTGGATGAATGTACAAAATATTTTTAACTGGTAATGTTATTAAACCATGTCTGTATTTATAAACTCATACAGCCAGTTAAACTCTGTTTAATTATAAAATATAAATATTTATCACATATAATTTGGTTGGTTTCATTTCTGGCCTTCTGCTCCCCTTTGATATATCCATCTCGGTCGGGTTCGGGTTCAGGAATATCTCTTGGAGCATTAACTGCTTTATTTACCTTATCTTTTATTGCGTTCGGATACCTTAAATTCTTATGAAAATACTCGCGGCAACGCGTACATTCGATCAGGCACAACTTATGTAAGTGAAAATTTGTTTTGATGCCTTCCTTTAACGAAAATTGCTATAGGAGTAAATGGTCATAATATACAAGGTGTGAAAAGGAATCAGTGGTTATTTTTCAGTATATTTAAATTTAAAATCCATGACAATCTTATAATAAGATCACAACAAAAATGTGAGGTTTTTTAAATGTATAAGAATTAATCGAATTTGTTGAGTTGCATGAGAATGTATTGAAAAATTCCTAGTACTGCAAATGAAAACCCAAGTGGAAACCATCCGGCTTTTATCCATGCCCAAAGTGTCAATCTAAAAAAAAAACGATTTCAAAAGATCCTCAATTTTAGGGCAATTAATAGAGGTTTTGTTTGTGACAAAAATATTGGTAGCAAACGGACTGTGCAATATCATGCATCAATCAAAATCAATGTCAAATCAAAAATATCAATGTGCTTCATACAAAAGACAGTCTGCAGATATATGCTTATATGTTTCCTACTTCAATTTACCATTAATTAATTTTTTTATAAACATTTTTATGCAAAAACGCATTTTTTTTCTAGGTTTTTGCTTATAAAACCTAAACCAACGAAGCAATCTGAATTTGTAGAGAATCGACATAAGGATAAAACGAGACGTCGATCGATCCGATGGGATAATTAGAAAAGAAGAAAACCCGGAAAGATCGGAAATTCTTTTTTTTTTTAATTCATTACCCCGACATTTTTTAAATTGTTCTTTAAGTGTGCACAAAGCAGGCGCTGTCGGACCATTAGTTTTGGCACAATTGCAATTTGAAATTTTTGGTACACTATTTTGCAAAATTTTGGATGCGCTGGAGGAATTTTTCACCTATTTCGCAGCATTCTATCAGAAACGTTTTATAGTATTATAGTTCTACTTTTAAAATCTGTCTTTTATACAGGGTGTTTCTAAAATAGGGTTCCAAACTTCTGCTGCGTTTATAACTCATTAAAATAAGCCAAAAAGTTCCTATTTACATGTGCCCTAAAACGCACCCTTTGGAAGTTATATGCTCTTAAAAGGGGTCAAACTTAAATTTTCCACTCACCACTTTTACTAATTAAACACTGCAAAGCTCAATTGACAGTTTATCAATAACTTAAATTGTTAAGCGTTGTGGCAACGTCAGTCTTTTATTTGCCATGGTAAACAGATTTTTGTAATTTTTGGCCTAATAACTTAAAGAGCAGAGTAATTTTCAAACTCAATTTACTCGAAAACAATTGGAAATATCGATTTGGACAAAGATAATATTTTTTACGTAAAATTGTTAAGATTTTATAAATCTGTAGAGAAAATTGTAAAAAAATTGAAATAAAAAAATTACGGGCCGAAAACCCCCTTTACCAACCTAAATGGGACGCATATGATTTGCATGTCGAAAAACGGAGTAGAGTATGTTATTTAACGTAAAAAGTTATGTAAGACCCATAAATTTTTTTCTATTTATTTGCGACCGTTTTGTCAATAACAGAAAAAAAAACAGTTTTGTTTGAGCCCTTTTAAGGCCATACAACTTCCTCCTAAGGGTGCGTTTTAGGGCACATGTTAATAGGAACTTTTTGGATTATTTTAATGAGTTGTGAACGCAGCAGAAGTTTGGAATCCTATTTTAGAAACATCCTGTATGGATGGCACAGTCCGTTCGCTATTAGTATTTTTGTCACAAAATCACTGAATTTAATCCTCTATTTCTTTTTAAAAATTTCTTACTCGTAATTTTTTGTTGTTTCATAAAAAGGTTTGGTCTCGATCAATCCGGACTCTATTATATTTACACTTTTTAAAATGTGATCTTCTACATCAGTTTTTAAATGTTCTATTTTGTGGACGACATCTGCACCTTTAAGAACCTACAAAACTATTGTTATTCGTTGTAAATAAAATAAAATCAGAATACTTTTCCAAAGACCACGTTCTTTCCGTATAACCAAGGAACTGGCATGGTGGTTATGAGAAATTGGCAACCATTGGTGTTGGGCCCTGAAAAAGTTTCAATTCCTCACATTTTAATACAAAAAGATTAAAAAACTGTTACTAGGTAGGTATATTGCTTTTATTAGTTATACAGCTTTGGCATTTTTTAATTTTTAGTCGTAATTTCTGTTCCTTTGCTTTAAATTTACTTTTAACCTGTACCCAACTTATATGGCAGAATCTTGAGGTCCAAAATAGATTACTACTTGGATCTAAATATTTTAGAATCGCTCAGTATAACTTACCATTGTTAGCCATCATAAGTAAACCACTAGATTCTGGTTCTATGTCAAAGTTTTCGTCATCAAAATATTCTCCGTAAATGCTTATTGAACCTGAACCATCGTTGTTAACAATATCACCACCTAAAAAAAAAAATATTGGTTCAGTCGCATAGAAATTCTTTAATTTCTATGGGAGAACAAGTTTTTTGTTATCTCAAATATTCTAGTGTCATATTATTTGCTCACCTTGAATCATAATCCTTTCGATAGCTGTATGGAATTTGGTTCCATCGTATCTCTTCCCCTCTATCCCTTTAATGGCGATTTGTTTAAAATTTTCACAAGTTACTGGAGCTACTTCTCCGAACAGGCCAAGAATAATTGTTCCCACGTATTTGTTTTCAATACTGACGTCGAAATATATCTGGTCAGTTACTTTATATTCAGAGAACTAAAATAAAACACAAAGGAATGACAACAATTTAATTTTGGAGAATTAACATAAAATTTTGGTTTCAGTTCAAATATGAAACACCATATTTTTGTAAATGGTTCTGCCTTCAGCAATTAAGAATATTTTTCTCCATTTAAGTACGATCCACTTCTAATTTTAACCATCCCGATACACATGTTGCTTCTAAAAATACCTTGTACCCGGCTATTATTTTCGTTTTTCTCGTCTTTTATGAGGCAATTCATCTTAATAATTGGAAATTAAATTTATAGCCCACTGCGGCCGTAATTCGAACGTAAAAGATACCATATAATCTTCATGTAAATGTTTTTCACTCACCTCACCGCAGCTCGCTATCAGGAGAATCACAAGAACACCATAAGGATTATTTAAATACATTTTTTCAGGAGGATTTTATGGTTATTCACACGATTGTTATACGTACGAACGGCTGTATCGATTTTTAGATCTCTTTTCTTTGTAATTCAATTAGTCGGCTGTAATTGCGCCATATAACAAACCATTTCCGCACTATCTGGCGCCAATTAAAACGAAATTTTTTAAAAAACAACCACAAAATACGAGAAAAACGTTTGTTATCCGGTAGACATAAAATTATTTTATAGTTCTTTAATTAACAATTCACAAAATTAGTTCCAACTTCCCTTCAGTGTTCAAATTAATCACAATTAACACAAAACAATCCAATTATTTATAATCAACGAACATTTTGAATACAATTTATAAAAACCAAAGAAAAATATTAATAGTGGCAACTACCTTCATGTTCACCATTTTAATATACAAATATTTTTGTTTTCTTATTATTTCTAATAATAACGGGAATGAAAAATCTTCAAAATGTATTTAATTTGAATATCTAAATGCTTGTTTTAAACAATTAGTTTTATATTCGCCATCTGTGTCATAATACCCCAACTTGACAGTATGAATAAAATAGCAACCTGTAGCAGTAAACTGTGTATAACGAAGTAGTAAATAACTCCTCAACAGATGTCAGCGCTTATGGTAAATGTTACAAACGTCAAAATTAATGTGTAAATATAGGTTAAGTCTGTAGTATTTGTCAACAAAAGTGCTTTCAAAATGAACGAAGAAATAGACGATTCTGAATTTTATCATCAGGATTTCACCACAGCTTCGGAGTGGGAAATATTTATAGCTCGTTTGGAAGAGGTGATTAATCAGTGGAAAACGGAGGATCTTAAAAACGAACCTGCAGTCGAAACACAAAACATATGGGATATAAGAAACGAAAAGGTCAGTTTTGCAGACTTTGATTTCATTCTAAGCCTGCACAGGAAGAAAGTGGAGACTCCGGATTCCTCAGAAAGCAGCGATGTGAACGAAGAGAAGCAAAATAAGAATCCTATTGATTCCTTGTACGATTTTCAGTTGTACGATGAAAACAATACCACGGATGCATCTTGTTTATCAACCTGGTATGGTATAAATGAATTTATAGTTCTCTCGCCTTTTAATAATGTTGGTGTTACCTCCGAGAGCAAAATTAAAATACTTTTAAGCTCAGCGTATGTAGTTGCGAGTAATTTAAATTGTGAGGTGCCGATCTTTGTTCAGATTAGAGAAAAATGGCAGAGATGTTTTTTGGGAGTATACGAGGGTGATGGAATCAGAACAAATTTCGAAATGGTACATTTAAAAAGAGGCCCTCCACATTGTCAGTACCTTACAGGACTTTTAGATCTATTTAAAACGAAAATAATGTCGCCTTGTACCATCGACGATATTTTAGTGTCTGTGCAACAATCTTACACGTTAACGGATTTTGGCAACTTCATTTGGAAACAAGATTTTCTCAGTGGTGATAATTTTGATGTGGAAATCTTATTCATACTACCGTTCGGGGTGACAATCGATCCTATCAAGGCACTTATTTTGAAAGCTACATGGAATCACTTTTCTGAACACTTACTTATTGGCAGTGAAAATTACTCAGATTTTGATCCGATGGTTGCTCCCAAGTGGTCTTGTACCACTAAAATCACCAACGAACCGCTTTGTTTGCTCGGAGAATGTTTGTCCGAGTTCTTACAAAATCTAAACAATAATTCAACAGTGTTTGATGTGCTTGGAGATTTTACTGCCGTTTCTGTGCCGGAAAATAATCCACTTGATGTGCTGACTGAACCCTCCGTTCCGAATATTTCCGGGTTGTTAAGTAGAGCCGCTAGAAGCTCCCTGGGTTTTAATCGAAAAGGAACTCAACCGATTACAGATTCTGTATTTGTTTCGTTGCTGTACTTTTTGTTCCCTGATGCCGATGAGAGCTCGAACTTTCCTTATGGAGGAAAAGATGAAAGGGAACCTTCTGAGAAGAGGAACCAGGAAAACGTAAGTAGAAAAATTTTGCTTCACTTAAAGACAGACAGTGATAAAAATTTAATATTTAACGTGATGTAATTAAGTATTTTATTGCAAAGAAGTAATTCGAAATACGTGATTTACTAAATAAAAGAGAAATGGGTAGGAAACTACAAGTGGTGTGGCGCCTTTCGGATAACAGAAAACAGATGGCGCTGTAGTATTTCAGCGCGACAAAATGTGTCTCAATCCAAAAATTGATAACGGAGCTGTAGGATTTCAAAGTTGAAACAATAAATAACATTTTTTTAAATATTTTTCGACAACTTCGAGCTAATTTCGTGAAATTTTCGTATACGGTAGTTTTTGAGAGTTCATTATGCAATACGTTGATATTTATATCTATTACAACAATTAATTCTTAATAGTTTTTTAATATAAAAAGCAAAAATTGACGTTATATGTGATCGATCTAGGATAAAATTCAAAATAACCTGCAATCTATTGTCAAATTTTGGAATTCAAAATAATAAAACAGGTAAAACTCTGAAAGTGCTTTTACACATTTCGGATAGCAGACAGTAGATGGCGCTGTATGTAGCACGATGTACGACATTCCCTAATAAATAGTTTTTTATTATTTTTTTACCTACAGTCAAGTAGAATAGAATTTCTTTTAGCTATGGGCGTAGCCAGGGGGGGGGGGCATGGCCCATCTTGGAAAAAAGTCTAATATCGTCTATTATATCGGCATATCGGTAAATCGCTAACTGCGTGACCTTTTTTTTTGGAATGAAATCAGAACGTGTTCAGAGGTTTTTGAAATATTATTCGGCGAGTTGCTGATTGCGAAAGCCCATCCCAAGCAAAAATTCTAGCTACGCCCATAGAATTATCTGACTTAAGTTGCTAAGACTGTTGTGAATTTTAGTAAACCCTACAGACTTACGCATTATTTTACTGTAGGTGCTGTTCAAAAATTTGGACGACGAATTCAAAGGCTTCAAAACGTGCATCGTCGACTCCCTCACCTGGCGACTATCAATTGTTTTAGCGCACGCTTTGCAGTCCCTTGGTGGGATTAGAGCTTTCGCCCACGTCTGGTACGAGTTTGTCCAGGAAATGCGCTACAGGTGGGAGAAGAGCATGCCGATACCGGGGTGAGTTTTAATTAAATTTTAAAGTTCCGTATTTCATACAATTTTTTTTTCATGAAAATTTACTTATTGAAAGTTATTGATTGAGTTTAATTACCTGCAAAGTAAATATATGTCATACCTTAAATATTGAATAATTAGTCCGCTGTAGTTGTTTCCCATGATATCAATAGAAAAAAGGATATATTGGGAATAAATGGTTTGTATCTGCTGATATTCAAATATAAAGACTACATTAAATATATTTATTTCTGACTTGTAAAAATATTTACAACAGAATATATTTTTGTTCAACTTTTACATCGAATAAATAAGTGTGGAGTAAAAATCGTGCAAAAACTTATATTAGCAACGTTTAGAACAAAATACGTGTACAAATATATTTTGTAACAAACGTCGACTGTCTTTTAGTCACAAACATATTTATTATTATATTTACAATGTTCTCTTCCTCACGGAAAAGGTTTACAGACTAAACTCAAATTTGAGCAAGAAATTATGAGTTAGCACACAAGAATTATCTAGTATATAAGACCATACTTTTGACATTTACTACATAACAAATAACTAAGTTCAGTGGTTCTTATCAATTATTATTTACATAGGCCTTTAGGTAGAATCTTTCCTGTAAGAATAACCTAAAGTGTATAACCTCTTGTATAACCACATGTTACTAATATGTGGTATAACTGTGCAGATCAGTGGCGTACACAAGATGGGGGTGGGGTGGGTTTCTTACCAAAAACAAACGTATTCAATAAAATGTTAAAGATAATAGGGTGGCCTCGAAATTATGACTGTTGAGTAATATTTAAAAAACAAATATTATTAGAGACAGTTTCTTCTACGGCTATGACTGTAAATATTAATACATACTAGGTTAAAGTGACACATTGATGAAAAAACTCTCTTGGCAGTATAGCCTATCATTGTTATTAGCGCGAATAAATTAAAAAACAAAAAGAAAATTAAGGTTAGTTTTGGTTTTCGAAATATCCATCAGTTACAGTACAAATATAACCGTACTTTTTTTTCTTGACAAAAGTGAACTTATTATTTGAAAATTATTATTTTTAAGTCCAGGAAAGTTAGACATAAAAAGACGGAATAAGCGAACATTTTTACTCAGATTATTTTTAGAAAAGTGTAGGTTTTGAGGTCAGAAAACATAATTATGTCACACATGTAACATACAGCGTTTGTCATATTGACACATGATTTTTCGCGTTTTTTGACAAAAGACTGCCAATATCTCAATGAAGATGCATTTTTTCGAAAAAAGGTTTCCAATAAAAGTTGTCCAGAATTAATTTTTTTACAAAATTGAAACCCATGAAAAATTTCGATTTTCCCAATATTTTTCCCGTATATTTTTAAATGAAGTACAGATTATGTGAAAATTAATGTAATAACAGAAGTAAATTAGAGAAAAAAAAATTTCTTGGAAAATTTCAGTCATTTTATAAGGTTTTCGATGGTGTACGTACAATTAATTATGCGCTTTTTAACATTTTCCAGAAAAATATGTTTTTTTTTTAATTTTTGCGACAGCACTAAAGCAGTTTTACATAAGAAACCTAGATATGGAAGCTCATAAAAAATTGTTAAAAATAATAAATAAAAAAAGTTGTTTTTAATTATGAATAAATAAAAAAAATTATATTGATATAATTTTTTTTATTATACCTTTGCAGCTCCAGAAAATTCCTATTGTCATCATATTTAAATTTTCAATATCATTATAGTACAAATTTTTATTTTTTAATATTCAAAGTAAAAAAAATTCAATGAAAATAGATTTTTCTGGAAAATATTAAAAAGCGCATAATTAATTCTATTGTACACCCTCGAAAATCTATAACATATTCAAACCTCGGAAAACTATGTAAATTTTTCCAAGAATTTTCCGCAATTTTCTTTTCTCTAATTCACTTTTGTTATTTAAAAATGAGTTGACCATAATTTCTCCAAAACGTTAATTTTCACATCACATTTTCACGGGAAAACTATTGGGAGCAATTTTGTAGGAAATTTAATTTTGAGCAACTTTTATATGAAACTGTTTTTCGAAAACACGCATCTTCATTGAGATATTGGCAAAAAAGCTCAGAGTAAAAAAGTTCGCTCATTTTTTTTAAATATAACTTTCTAAGATTTTGTTTGCATTTGTATTTCTTATGTACTTTAATATATTTTTTGTATTTATTGGTGCTATAACTGTATTAAACTATGTTTACCTATATATTCTTCTATATTTAATTTATGTTTATTTATTATTATTTTTATGTATCGACCTCGTTCAGACTTACGTTTTCTATACCTTTGATTAAAATTCTTTTTAAAAACGTGTTCAACGTTCACAAATTACATTTAAATGATATTTCCCTTTTAGCTCATAGTAGGTGGTAGATAATCAACTGTTTTATTTTATGGACACCATATTGATTTCTTATAAGGTCAAAACAACATACCGGATTAATATTTTTTCTTTATTTAATAATATAAAACACCAGCATGGCTTCCACAGGAAAAAGTTGACTATCGTATCTCTAAAAACAGTGAAATACCGTAAAAACCTTAATATCTAAGATTAAATACGTATCGTCATTTAATAGATCTCTGTGAGTGTTACCAGTTTTTTTTTTAATGTTACCGAATTTCTTTGAATAGGCTTCAGTTTGACTAGTGTAATAACTATCCCAGGAAGGGTTCGCAGTTTCAATATTGTGTACGCCACTATACAGTGTACACCTTGCTGCTAGCAGCCTTTGTCTCAATGAGACACTTTAATACTAAATTATTTAAGAGACTTCATATTTTGTAACATAGTTGGTTTGAAAAGATCACAGTTTTTTAGCGATCATTTTCCCCATGAAAAGAATATACAAGGCGTTACAAGGCGTCTGTCGAGCCAATATATTGTCCAAAATTTCTAAATCAGTAAATTGTACGAACGAATTTTTTTTAAATACTTTTGGCGTCGTGTAGGTCCGAAGATTTGATGTCAGGTGAAGTAGCTACTAATATCTTCATGATGAGAACTCAGTTCTAACATTGAGCAACGACTACAACGTCTTATAGGGGCACCAGGCCGTTTCTGGTGGTCGGATTCCGAGCCATATAAATTTCCATGTCGTGGTCGGTCCAGTTGTCCGAGTTATCACAATAATTGTTCAGGGTGTGCGTCGATCCCGCCGTGCTGTACCTGCTGCTGGGGCGGTGGTGTTCGCGCGACCTGGACCTAGGTCTGGAACGTCTCGTGGACGAAGCGGCCGATTGGGCGGGGGCGGCGTGGTGGGGAGCCATTCTGGTAGACATCCTCTCGGATTGCATAGCTAGGGATTGCCTGGATTGTCGGAGATCTGAAAAGCGATGGTGTCAGTCCGGGTTAGTCTACATCTACGGGGTGTCTGACTTAAGGCGGATTCGTTCGTAACTCTTATAGACCAGGGTCGATAATTTTTGAAACCAAAAAAAATTATAGTACGATGAAACCCATTGGAAAAGAAAGAGAATATAACAGAAATGAAAGGAAAAATAATTTACGGGCGATCTGAAGCCGGGAAGGGGTAGGGGGTGAGTTTTTAAGGGTAAAAAACGGTTTCCCTTGATTTCCAGAAAAACTAAAAGTCTTATGGAAAAAAGTTAAATGGCAAAGTTGTAGGTAATAAAAAGATCTACAACTTTTGTATTTACACTTTTTTCACATAACCTCAAAATTTATGTGAAAAATTCAAATAACCAAGTTTTTGGTTTTTTATTTTTATCTTTTACAAAAAAATTTTTTTTTCACGAAATTTGGTGAAAACTTACCTATTTATGTCCCAAACACGCTGTAATTTTTTTGATTTGAAATATTTATTTTTTCACCTTATTTTTACTTAATATCGAAAAAGCACCCTAATTTTCAATCGAAAATTCTCACGTCAAAATATCTGCTTTTTTAAAAACGTCGGTGGGCTTTTTCTTCGTTGAAATCTCTACTTTCTGATGGTGTAAAAAAAATATACATTACTATGGTAAGTTTTCTCAGGAAATGCAAAGAAACGAACTAGAATCCGAAAATTTTTTTCTAATCATTATGTACAATTTTGAGCTATTTATTAAAATTTACACTTTAATTACTCGAAAAACGTAAGATTCCATGTTACATTGATAAACAAAAAAATTACAAGTCGAAATATACTATTATAATTAACAACCAAATAAGTTAATAAAGTTAATATTTAATAAGACATCTACAATATTTTGAGAAAGTTGTAGAATCTTCTTTCGTTTCTTTGCATTTCCTGAGAAAACTTACCATAGTAATGTATATATTTTTTTACACCATCAGAAAGTAGAGATTTCAACGAAGAAAAAGCCCACCGACGTTTTTAAAAAAGCAGATATTTTGACGTGAGAATTTTCGATTGAAAATTAGGGTGCTTTTTCGATATTAAGTAAAAATAAGGTGAAAAAATAAATATTTCAAATCAAAAAAATTACAGCGTGGTTGGGACATAAATAGGTAGGTTTTCACCAAATTTCGTGAAAAAAAATTTGTTTGTAAAAGATAAAAATAAAAAACCAAAAACTTGGTTATTTGAATTTTTCACATACATTTTGAGGTTATGTGAAAAAAGTGTAAATACAAAAGTTGTAGGTCTTTTTATTACCTACAACTTTGCCATTTAACTTTTTTCCATAAGACTTGTATTTTTTCCGGAAATCAAGATAAACCGTTTTTTACCCTAAAAAACTCACCCCCTTCCTGACCTCAGATCGCCCGTAAATTATTTTTCTTTTCATTTCTGTTATATTCTCTTCCTTTTCCAATGGGTTTCATCCTACTATAATTTTTTTTTTCACTTTTTACCATTTTTGAAGGCTTAAGCACTGGTCTATTATAGTATTATTAGTAAATAAGAAAAAATTGAGTTATTCCTGTATTTTTAAAAACGAAGCGGAAGTGTTCTTCGATGGAAACTATTTATTATATTTCTTCTTTTATTCATTCCATTTTGTCTTGATATATTCGTAATCTAATAGTGCTTATAAAAAGAAGGATAATTTGTTAATCAATATACAGTGTGTACCGCACTCTTGTAAACTTTTTAATTGTTGATTTTTAAAAAAAAGTTATTTTTAATAAAAAGTTTTGCTTATCTTGGGAAGCCACGAACAGTAATCAGATACGTAATAAAATATATAGGGCGTCCAAAAAGTTTCAAAATGTAATATTTTTCTTAAGCAAAATGCCAAAAATTAAAGGCACTTTGCTTAGCGTAAATTTCACATTTTAAAATGTTTTGGACGCCCTGTATATTTTATTATACAGGGTGTTTCAGAATTAAGTCGGCAAACTTTAAGGAGGTATTCCTCATAAAAAAAATAAGAAAAAAATCAAGTATAATTTTTTTTCCGGAGACGCTTCATTTTCGAAATATAGGGCATTAAAGATTTTTAAAAAAATTCGAATTTTTTTAATAACTTCTAAATGAATCAAGCTATTTAAGCCAAATTTGGCATGACACATCTTCTTATAAGATACCATTTTTCCAAGTAGAAGTCCCGCAAGCAACCAGTGGCGGAGTTATGGGGACTTAGACTCATAAAATTATTTAAAAAAAATAATACTATAATACTATAATACTGTAAATAAAAAATGATGCTGTTTTTAGATAGACCAGTTTGTTATTGACAAAAAGTGTACATTCACTTTTTTTCCTAAATCTTCCGAAAAATCAATTTTGCCATGAAACTATAAGAGTTATGAAAAAAGTGAATGTACACTTTTTGTCAATAACAAACTGTTCTATCTAAAAAACAGCATCATTTTTAATTTAGAAGAAAAAATTCGATTTTTTTTTAAATCTTTAACGGCCTATATTTCGAAAATTAAGCGTCTCTGGAAAAAAAAGTATACATGATTTTTTCTTATTTTTTTTATGAGGAATATCCTTAAAGTTTGTCGACTTAATCCTGAAACACCCTGTACATTTGGTCTCTGACTATGGTTTCCCAAGAGAAGCAACACTATTCATCAAGTATAACTTTTTTTCGAAAAATCAATAAAAAAGTTTGCAACAGTGCGGTACTCCTCCTCGTACAAACCGATCACGAGCCGCTACTGGTATAAAATTTTTGTTTAAAAAAAATTATCACATATAGATAACACCGAAAAGACATATTTCAGATACTTTCCCAGAGTTGCGAAGAAACCATTTTAAGTTAGATACCCTATACGTTTTCAAAAAAGTCACTTGGCCATCTCACTTTTTTTCTGTACATTTGCCACGTTCCGCGTACTGAGCGTTTTACCATTTAACGTGAAACTCAAAGTGCGTGTTCATTGAAAATCTACTGTTACCTTGCCTAGAAGCCAAAAGGTTGTTTGGGAACGCAGTGGCTGTCAAATACCTCCCGGAATGGTTCGAAAAACTATGCTGAGATTGCCCATCAGCTACAGACCTTGCTTTGTTGCCTTTCCCTCCGAAATGGGCCCTCATCTCCTCCAGAGATGGCGGTTGGTCCACCGTGTACATCCTCGGCCGTTGGCTGTGCGTGCTGTACCCCGACACTTGGTCCCAATCCTAAAAAATACATATTTATCACGATTTGCGATCTACGCCGGGTACATGCGTTTCCGACTACCTTGCTGGTATTGTAGGCGTTCAGCGTGGCCAGCGACGACAGCGGTTCGCCAGGACTAGCGGGAAGCCCCGCGCAACAGTTCACCGGCAACCCAGCGATGGGTATCCCGTGTTTCATGCCGAGTTTCTGCTGGTGGAGTTCGTGCAACTTCCTGGATCGCCTCCTGGAGGCGGCTATGAAGACGATTACGGCCACGACGATGGTGCCGCAGATAGCGGCGCTGGCCGCGATGGTGATTTTGTCCATGTTGGAGGAGGCGGAGGAGACGGTGCGCACCTCGCGGCATTGGCCGTAGGGGATGGTTTCGGGGGTCACGTTGATCTCCGCCAGGGATACCACGCACACTATGATACATTCCTGGAAAAATCATAAATTCGAATGAGGAAAAAAGCTGTCATAAAAATGTATTCAATTGTTCCTAAAATCGTGATATGAACAAATTGTGTAAAAATTCGACATTTAGACTGTGATTATTTTTACAATTCTGAAATTATTACCAGCAAATTGTAGATTTTCCCAAACTTTCAAACAATATTGTATGCAAGTTTGATTTAATTTGTTCCTATCACGATTTTAAGAACAATTGTGTGAATTTTTATGACTGTGTTTTTTATGTAGAAAGTTCCAAATCAAAATTTCATATTTCAAAAAAACTTGTGTGCAAGTGCCTCATGGGAAAATAATAGGGGTAGTTCATGTAATGTTTTTTAATTATATTTAAATCGGTTAAAGATAAAAATGACAACATGTGTACACGAATAAATATCAACTATGCGTTTAGAATAATTCGCAAACGGTTTCTTTCTGAAAAGCAGTGTCGCCGATACAGGTAATTGGAGGGGTACAATTGAAAAAAAGTCAATGTTAGAAGTCAAAATTTATTACATTTCTAAACGGTTCTGTAAACCCTAAATCATACTACAAAAAAAAAGGTATATTTGTCGAAATTCGGTAGCATGTACCATTTTCAAGAAAAATGAAGTTGCATTTTTTTGCTCACATACTATTAAATTGAAAGAGGACTGAAGACATTTAACTACCAACAGTATTTGCATTTAAGACTATAATTTTAATTTCTTGCGTATAACATGAAACAGTTTACAATTTAAGTAAAACATTTTATTAACTAAAAAAAAATAAAAATGTATTTTAAGTTTCAGCTTGTAAACTAACATTTAAAAAAGTAAATCAAAATAAACGGATAATGGTAATTAATTATTATCTATTAAAAAGAAACAATTGTTGAATGAACTGAAAAGTTGACGGACATGAATGTTTAAAAAAGTGATAAAAACAGAAAAATATTAGGAAACAGACTCGGACACATACAGAACAAAACAGCTGCACAATTAAATAAATATGCAAACTCGAAATATTACCGTAGATGCTGAAATTGTCCCCCATTTGCTTCTATGCAACTTAATTTTTCTCGAAAATGGTACATGCTACCGAATTTCGAATTTCGAAGTATACCTTTTTTTTGTAGTATGCATTAAAGTTTACAGAACCGTTTAGAAATGTAATAAATTTTGAATTTTAACATTTTTTTTCGATTGTACCCCTCCAATTACCTGTATCGGCGGCGCTGCTTTTCAGAAAGAAATCGTTTGCACATTATTCTTAACGCACAGTTGATGTTTACTCGAGTACAAATTTTGTCATTTTTATCTTTAACCGATATAAAGATAATTAAAGGAAAACCATATGGAAAGTAACAATTTCAACACACTGTATCTCGAAAACAAGGCGTCTAAGAAAAAAACTTTACATGAACTACCCCTATTACTATTCCATGAAGAACTTGCACACAAGTTTTTTTGAAACATGAACGGGACATCCTGTATAATTGTGATTACGTAAGTTTTACCAAATTCGGGTTATTTTATAACTCTCGATTATATTTAGAAATTTCTAAAGATCACTGAACGACATTTGGCTAACATTTGTGTATAAAATTACGATTCTGATGACTAATGAAAGCGGTTTAAAAAGTTGACATTAAAAAAAATTAATTGACTATCTCAAATACATCCGATACCATTTAACATATGTTTCTTCTTAATGTAAACAGAGTGTGTGTGAAATTATTTTTTTTAATCAAATAAGTAGTCGACTTTGCAATTTGTTTTTTAAACGCACTGTGTTTAGTTTGTGAATTTCGGTGTCAATGACTTGTTATAAAATTAATTTCTAAGACTAGAATAGACTATTGATATGGAAAAAAATAACAGGTACACCCCAGTTTTTGTCAGCTTGGTAGTTTTAATTTTTTATTATGCAATAGCGTCTTTTATTTTTTTTTCTCCAAAAAGGAAGCAAGATACGAAAAAAATTCATGGGACAAAAATGTTGTATTTTTAGTTGCTTAATACGAAAAATATTATAAAAGTTTTAAAAAAGTTAGTGACGCACATTTTTTGTCAAAAATATTGGTTCAGGTGCCCCTGGGGCACCAGTGGACTTAATAATTTTTATCTAGTTAGAGTTAAATTAGGCCCTTTCTATCATAAACAACACTGCCAAATTTCAACAAAATCGAATTTTTACGAAAAAACGATTTTTTTTTTAAATTTGACACCCTCTATCTTGAAAACGAAGTATTACCGGATCTATGTTTATACAAAATTTTCGTCTTAAAATTTTTTCTTTTTGATTTATATCTTCATCGTGTAATCACATTTATTGTAATTTTCAATTAGTAGATTACTTACTTGGGCCGGTACGTTCTTTATTTTGAACTCCCTCTCACTGGCGTCCAATGGAGGTCCCTGCTTAAAGCTCTTGTCTCCGAACAACCTATAAACAACCCTGAATCCAACAATATTAGCGGTTTCCGAACCCCACTGAATGATAACCGAACTGTCCTGTCTAAAGGCGTTCTTTACAATCACTTTACCGTCATCATCACCTTTATTTCTGGACGGATACCCCAGCACCATCGACGGTCGCTGGGTCGACTTCCACACTGGCGGTACCGTCTTGGTTTTGGTCGTGGGAGTGGTGGTCTTGGAAGTAGTTGAGGCTATTTTAGTAGTCGTGGAAGATGTTACGGATGTTGCTATCGTTGACGTCTTCGTCGCCGGTTGGTTTCCGTTTGGTGGTACCACTTGAGGGTTGGTCGCAATCAAATCGTCCAGATCTGCGCTCACTACTGTAGCTACTCCTATTCCTTCAGGTTTGCGCGCTGGTTCCTCTTTCACGGGCTTTGTCGTGGTTGTGGTGGTAGTCGTAGTTGTGGTCGTTACGTTTTTCTCTGGACAAGACAACTCTTCTGGTAGGATGCTATAGAACCCTCTGTCTCTAAACTTGGGCGGGCTTCCACAGAACTGAGGATTCCTTTCACGGCTGGTCACTTGGAGGTCGCCGTTGCGAATCCAGTTGATGACCCAAGACAAACGACAGTCGCAGTGTAAAAATCTGCCGCCCAGACTTAGTCCTCTTAGTGTACTGTTCAAGTGAGACAATGCTTCGAAGGGTATAGTTGTTAAAGGATTCCCGTCTAACGCTAGGAGTGTGATGGAAGGATTCCCTTTGAACGCTTCCGTTGGAAGCTCGGTCATAAGGTTAAATCCTATGTCCAGCACCCTTAGTTCAGACAGCGTGCTCATGGCAGCTGTGGGAAAATCAGGTAATAAGTTATTGAGCAAACTCAGCGAGCTGAGACTCTTGCTGACACCAGCGAAAGCGTTTTCTTTCAGACTTTGAATCAGGTTCCTCTCCAAATTGAGTGCCGTGAGCGATTCTAGTCCTTCGAAAGCTTCCACTCCAGTCTCCCCTGGTAGTTCCTTAAGGCTATTTTGCGACATGTCCAAGAAAGCTAAAGTTTTCATCCCCCGAATCGCTCTGGGCATCTCGTGTTGCCTGGTTCCCTTCAAATTCAAATTTTTAAGACAGCCCTCCAATCCCCTCAACGCTTCATCGTCCAGGGTGGCGTTGTTATCGGATAGCTTCAACGTGGCTAGCTTCTTGAGGGTCTCGAACGCACCTGCAGGCACCGAGGTGATCCGGTTGTGAGAGACATCTAAGAGCGACAAAGTTCTTAACTTCTTCAAGCTCTCCACGGGCACTTCACTGAGGTCGTTGTCTTGTAGGTTCAGGTTTTTCAGGTGCTGCTCCTGACCTTTGAAGGCGTTACCGGACACTTTACCGATCTTGCAGCCAGACAACTGCACGTTTTGCACTTTCAATTTAGCTAAGATGTTGTCTTTGAGTTCACCTATGGTGGAATTGTTTACGTAGAGTAAGTCTAAGGGGGTAGCGGCGGCGTATTTGTTCAAGGCCGCTAGCAAAATGGACCAGTCCACCATGTCGCACTGCACTGAAAGTTCGTGACCGAGGTTGTACGAGCACAAACACGTCGATTGGAGCTCCACAACTTCTCGTTGCCACGGGCATTGCGTTGAGGCTAGGGAGATGAGGGCGGCTGAGAACAGCACGCTGAGGATGGAGCGTTCTTTCATGACCTGAAACAAGTAGGGTGTTAAAATGATCAGTCCGTTCGTTTCAATATTATAAAGGAGAATATATCGTTAGTGTAAGTAGATAGTTGATAACTGATTCCTTTGTGAAAGCAAGCGGTAACAGCTACAGGTTGAATTAAAATTCAGTCACGTATCATTTTATTTATTTCTGATTGCCGTTATCTATAATTCTTTACCGCTATGTCCAGATCGCTTGTCGATGAATCTATGCACGTTATGATTTAATTTAAATCGTGTTGGACATTGATCCCGATGCCTTGCTGACATCCAAATTGACCTATTAGTCGATTAATTAAGTACATTTCGTTCGCAGTCTACTGCTTCCGGGTATATCATAGAAAACGTAACGATTTCGATATTGCACGTAATCCAAATATAACAATGTTACCTCTAAAACTAAACGCAGGTCAAAAATTGAAAAAATTGATTCATTGACACATTGAAATACGTAATTCTTCAAGTAAAATCATTCTGGATTAATTTAAAATCTTTTTCAAGTGATATTTTTGCATTATTTATTACCTGTCGTTTAGTAATTAACATATCCTTTTCCTTTTTCGTGTTTATTTTGTATTTGTTTCGTTTCCGTCACGTATATTACGAGCATCCTCTAAGTTTATGAAACTGAAAGTGCGTCAGGATTTTTAATGATCGTAGATGCACATCGTGGGTACAAGTGTCCTATTAGGTATTCAAATGTCATACGGTTTCCTGTCCGGATATACAGTTCTGGGCAAAACGCAGTTTTACGAGGACCTGCAACCTGCAACTATTTTTTTATGTTAAAATTGACCAAAAAGGTAGTAAAAATTTTGACATTTACCATAAATTAATGTTACGTTTATAAGAGAAAAAAAGTATAAATAGAAAAAAAAGTTCATATTAGGGTGAATCCTATATCCACGCAGATTTTTGGCTTTTTGGCTTTCAAATATCACTAGATGTGAAAATTTTTCTATGCGCATAAAAAAAACGTGGGTTTAATTTTTGACGGCACAACATGTTAAAAAAAATTCGAAAAATGTCATATTTTTCTTCATATTTAATTATGTATCTTTTCAAGAGTTGATTTTAGTAATTAATTTTTTTACAAAATATGACTAGTTACAAATCGAATGAATCATGATTATTATTGTAAAAATCGAAAAATGGCCAAAAATAGGGTTAAAAAACATTACATTTTAGAGAATTTTTTTGGGGTCTTTAAATTGGCTATAGGACCTTCATACCTGCCTCCAGAAAACTTCATGTTATGTAGAATTATCACACCAAATTTCACAAAATCGGTTCGATAGATTTTGCATAATAATTTTGCAATCCAGATTTTGAAAAAAATTTTGCAAATTTTCAAAATTTTGGACAGCAAAAACCAAGGCCCTTAGATACTTGAAAATTTAATCACATATAGAAAGGCTCTCAAGCTTTCAAACGCTTTTTGAAAAATTCGAATCCATCAATTAGGAGAGCTCTGGCGCTTGTTTAAAGAATGGTCGAATTTTTGTACTTATAAACAATTAGAATAACTTTGCGAATATTCAATCAAATCAAATTTTTTAAAGCAGATTTTAAAAGTTATTGGAAAGACGCTTCTTTTAAATAAATAAATAAAAAAAAAACAGATCGATTGGTCAATTAGTTACGTAGTTATAGCCGATCAAAGTTAACCGTCATTTACACTAAATGTACTGGGACATCCGGGCTAATTTTTCGAAAAATACCTTTGGTATTTCGAGTACTTACCAGTCTAAGTTTGCAATACTTTTCTTCATTGGCAACCTACTTTAAAACGTGTAAAATTCAAGAAAATCGTACGAGTGGTGGTGGTGGAGGAAGCAGAAAGCGCGGCCGCTTCGGCCTGTTCGAAATTGAATCGGCGAGTTCAAAACCGTGATGCGCTTAAAAATTTTTAATATTTCAGCTTCTAAGTCCTATTTTACAACAATTAGCGTATGTTCAAATGCCTAACCTTAATAATTATTGGTCTTTCAATAGTACGATAATTATTTATCTCTAAACTTCCTGTAATTATCAACTTTATTTTTTTATTGTATCAAAGGTAAGTGCATAAACTTATATAGGTACTGTTTATCCAAGATCAAAAACAAATTTATTTAAATATTCTAAAATTGTTTAAACAACAATTATTTTCGAAATATGTCGAAAATTAGTAATATAATGAGTTAATTTCTCATTTGCTTATATTTTAAACAATAAATATTATTTGAATTATACTTTAATCACAAAAGAAATGATGATTAAAGTAATAAATTAATTATAAAAAAACAATATTATTTTATTCATACTTAATAACTTTTAAAATCTGCTTTAAAAAATTTGATTTGATTGAATATTCGCAAAGTTATTCTAATTGTTTATAAGTACAAAAATTCGACCATTCTTTAAACAAGCGCCAGAGCTCTCCTAATTGTCGGATTCGAATTTTTCAAAAAAAAGTTTGAAAGCCTGAGAGCCCTTCTATATGTGATTAAATTTTTCAAGTATCTAAGGGCCTTGGTTTTTGCTGTGTAAAATTTTGAAAATTTGCAAATTTTTTTTCAGAATCTGGATTGCAAAATTATTATGCAAAATCTATCGAACCGATTTTGATGAAATTTGGTGCGATGATTCTACATAACTTGAAGTTTTCTTGATCCAAGTATGAAGGTCCTATACCCAATTTAAAGACCCCCAAAAAAAAATCCCTATTAAGTAATGTGTCTTTAACCCCATTTTTGGCGATTTTTCAATTTTTACAATAATAATCATGATCAATTCGATTTGTAACTAGTTATATTTTGTAAAAAATTAATTACAAACATTTTTTTCCTTTTCCATTTTCGCCTAAAATCAACTCTTGAAAAGATACATAATTAAATAGGAAGAAAAATATGACATTTTTCGATTTTTTTAACATACTGTGCCGCCAAAAGTTAAGCGCACGGTTTATTTTATACGCATAGAAAAATTTTCATTTCTAGTGATATTTGAAAACCAAAAAGCCAAAAATCTCCGTGGATATACAATTCACCCAAACCAAAACAGATACCGCCTAGTCTATAATATGTACTTATTTTATTTCACACGTGAAAAAAAAATTGTTGCTAATAACTAAAATTTGATTTTAGTAGTCAGTTTAGTAGAGTTTAGTAGTCAGTAAAAAAACTACCTGTAAAACACCTATAAAACTGCAACTGTTGGACAAGATATTTATAAAAGTTAATAATAACGCAACACAGAAAAAATTTGTCATTCCAGAAATAGAATCCATTGATACGCGAATCATGTATTTCTTCATTGTCATTCATAAATCAGAGTTACCTTGTTGCAGTCATTGTTGTATATTTTTACCATTTCTGAAACATGTACGAGATCTGGTTAATTTGCAAAAATTGGAAACTTTTGGGTGGCATAATTTAATACTTTTATCATTCAAATTTACTACTTTTCTTTAAATTCTGTGCCGAGTATCTAATTAGGAATATTCCGAAACGATTACTTTGCAATGGTAATGTTTTGTTCTACATCCGTTTGTTTACTTTCTTACAAATACGCAACTTTCCCATAAACAACTACAAACAACGAAACTTTGCTTCCATTTATCAACTTTTCACATATTTAGCAAATGATACAAAAACACTTCCTGAGTTTCCACAATACTTGTCACCTAGTTCACTCACGTTACATTTTACAAACAAGCATTGTGACGAAACGCTGACGGTCACAACTTGCAGTATTTGTTTTTTCTTATTCTATTTCTCTGCGTTAAATAGCCGGTAATGTTGTTCCAGTTTTGAAACCGCTTTTCTCATAATTGTGCGTTTTTTTCTCACCGGTATTACGTAAACCTCGGAATGATCTAATAGTGAAAATAAGCAGATGTCCACTTTTTTCAGTTCGGGTTCTGACGGGCCGAACTGGATTTGCACAACTTAGGAAGAGCAGCGATAATCATATTTCCGGTCGGTTTCGTTTGCGGTTACTTGGATTTTTTTTTTATTTCTGACTTTAAAATTGAGGTATCTATTAAGATTAGTTAATTGATGGGATCAGATGATGGCATCGTTTTTAACAATATTTCGAATCAATTCGGAAAAATATTGCTTGGGAAGTCGCTGTTGTGTTCTCGAAGGTTTTTTTCTTTCCATCCTTGAATACAAAAACAATACTGTGCAATCTAGAACCAAGCATTATTATTATTTTCATAATTTTACTGTTTGAATAAGGAAAATAAATTTAAAAAGTGGTTCTATTCAACTTATAGTCATTATTACACATTATTCTATGTCCTCCCGCTGTTCTGAACTCACATTCCCCTTTGTGTCTACATTTCCAATGCGTCAGTCCTCTCGAATAAGAGACAAGACAAACCATCACAAATCGAATTTACATTCACAGTCAGAACGATATTTTTCCCACTGTTTCGCACTCAATAGCCCCAGCACCAGCAACGGCATGTCATTGACATTAGTGGTTGGATGGGTGTACCAGTATAACATCTTTGTCGTATATGCTTTACGATTGCACTGGGTATGCCTCACTTTCGCTTGCCTTACATCCACCACAGTCCGCCGGCGAGGGATATAAATCATAAATGCGAAACAAATATATAACGCGAGGTCACAGAAAGTAGTGATTAGGATTTATTAAAAAAAGAATGGGTCCAGAGAGCAATTCACGCATAATATTAATTAGCAGTCCCTTCTTCCACACAACAACATTATACAATATACAAATCTATAGTACGATCGTATTCGATGCAAAGTAATAAATCATTGCCTGTCAAGGGAACCAGTGCAACACATTTTATAGGGGGTTTTGGAAATTGAATAATTTCTTTATGCATTATGGATTAACAGTTATATATTTATGAAGGACAAAATGAAAAACAAAGGCATCTCCTTCGCACATTGGGCGGCAGGACAACAATACATTTATTACTCCCTTCATTATCCCTCATATGACTTGTGTCTTGTGTTTTTTGCGGCGGCGCGCGTGCCGGCCTGGCGTGGTCAGTTTCGTTTCGGTTGTATTGGTGCTGCGTGTTTCTCGCTCGCGATATTTGTGAGGTTATAACTGTTATAAGTGCAATTATATTTCTTTCGGGCTATATGTGTGTTTCGCGCTATTATTTGAGAATTTGTGAGTGAAATCATATTTCTTGTGCTCCGTAACAAAAGTGTTTTTAGTGTTTTATTTGTGTGCTGTGTGTGTGTTTCGGGCTGTTGTTTGTGAATCGTGAATGCTATTATATTTTCTGTGCTAGTGAAGTGAAGTTTTTTGTATTATTATTGCTCTGTTGTCGTTATATGGATAAATGGAGGCGGTGCCTGGATGTTCGCGAGCCGGATGTACTGCTGTGGGTACAAAAAAATCTATATTAAGTTACAGAGAAAAAACGATAATATTAAATGTCTATAACCCTTTAGAAAAGGATCATCCCATGAAACTGAAGACTGGTTTGGTGGAAATGTGTTCTAGATATACTGGAGTAAGCGAATTATCTGTTTTCAAAATTTTAAGAGAGAAGAAAATTGAAGGAGACGTTAAGAAACCTAAAAAAGGGGGTGCAAAGAAGAAATTAATATTAAATGAAGATGAGAAAAATGCAGTTTGGCGTACAGTACATAAATCATAGAATTTATATTTTGTTTATAATTTGTTAACATTTCTTGTTTGATAGAAAAATAACTTATTTTGTTGAGATTGGTAGAGAATTGTTGTTAGTGTTTTCATTTGATAGAATCATATCATAGGATTTATATTTTGTTTTCATTCTGTAAATATTTATAGTATATCTGTTATACAAGGTTTTTGCTTTGAAACTTCGTTCTCCTTATAAAAAAAAGAATCGTAATGGGGTGCGATGAAGAGATCAGTTCACGTCTGGAACCCTGTTCCTACAAAAATCCCTTTATTCTCATAAACTATTTGTTTTAAATGTAATTTATTATAAATCCAATTCGTTATTTAAATTCCACATATGTACTACATTTCACCTCTGTACGCGCCACTGTTTATTGTTCCCTGCTCTACGATCAAGCTCGCCAGGTTAGTATTTGACGTATAACCGACCACTTCGTACACTCGATGCACCTGGCCGACTACAGCTAGTACCAGAACACAGTGCGTATGCGGCGGTATTTCAGATTTTACATTCAATTTCATTTTAAATTTGAAACGGTTCATCTTACGCCTCCTAAAAATGATGACACGATTTTCCTTTGATAAAAGACCGACAATTTTTTGCTCTACTTTGCATCGTATACGATCGTACTATAGTATATTTAGTCAAACAGCGAGCGTGCCACAAGTTTCGATATTTGGCCCATTCTTTTCATTAACAATGTCGCGAATAATTTTGTTGGTTTGGAAATCAGGTGACAACTCTATATCTGATTAAAAAAACTTCAGCACAGTTTGGACTTGCTCAGCCTATGGTGGAAGCGACTACCTTTAAATGTTTCTAAATGTAATGCCTTGTTATTTTCCTGTATAACTAATTTTATTCGGTTTCGGTACAGATTGTGTGACCATGGGTTGGAATACCAGATTGTGTCAAGGATTTAAATGTTATATTTGAAGACAAATTAATATTTTCTGTACATATGGCTGAATTAACAGAGGTTTATAAAAATTTGGGGTATATTTTGCGTAACTGTAGATATTTTTTCGTTGTGTACACATATTTTTGTATTGCTAAACATTTATTCATCCTGTAATATGGTTTTCTTCCCGTTGGACGAATTTAATTAAGTACATAAATAAAAATTCCGTCCTTACCGATTTGTTTCGCGATTACTGGACTTCGTCAATATCCAAAGGCGAGGTCATAGGCCATAGCGTTAGTCGTAGCTCTTGAAGTCAACAGTTGATGATGTAAACGTGCCGATATCCTCAGTTGGGGAGTCTAGGTGAAGGAATGCATTTCTGGTGGGTGGGCTGGCAGATGTGGATCAACCTGCGGACAAGAATGTTTCAGTGAGACAGGAGTACTTGTAAAATACAAAAGAAAAATTGGAAGAGCTGTTGATGTCAACGACAATATTGCAATAATTTTCAAGGACGTAACAGTTACAGTGATAACGAAATATATGAACGGTTTGATATGGTGTTTCTAAAATCTCTGGGTAAAAGTGAAGGTAGTGAAGATTTATCAGTTTTAAGTGATTGTTTAAGAACCACATAATTTTCATTTTTTGTAACTTTTCAAGTTTTTTCTGAACATTTTCTTGCAAATCAGGTCGCATAATCAAACCCACAAGAAACACGTTGAAATAATTCATCGTCTGTGTCACATTAACATGAGTTACAGAGCTCGGACGTAACTTTTCACTTTCTATTTTGATGCTGTATAAGTCTATAATAAATTCAGATATAATTGTAGATATTAATAATTAATGGCAGTGTTTCTTTATCATCTTAAAATCTAACAGAAAAATATAACAAGATACGCGTTTCATTAATAATTCATATTAACATTTCAGAAATAGTAAATATGCCAGGCTTTAGTTATATTGCTAAGTGTCTATATACAGTATGTCCACGGTTTAGAGTGAATAAAAGGAAAGAGTTTTTTCGAAAACTATCATCAAGTTCAAGTCTTTTTCGTTCTAGAACATAAAACAAATGTCAGAATAATTTGTAATTTTTTCGAAATTTATTTATGATTAATAAAATCATCATCAAATTAAACAAGTAATATAACATTTCAATACCGGACGATTACAATTCATTTTGCACTACATGTAAATTGAGTGCCGATATTGCATTGAGTTAAAGGACCCCGCAATAATCTTATGGAAATTGGGTTTCTGTCAAGTTGTCTGAATTTTTGATATGTTGTAGATTTTGTCATCCTGAACAAAAGTCTCCATGGGCACAAAGTGCCAAAATGAACATTTTGGTAGCTACGGAGCTGCCAAAGCTCCCCTGACCCGTTGCAAAACTATTCATTTTCAATACTATTTACAGATGTCAAAAGCATATTTTAATTATTCTAATATATAGGGTAATGTTTTTGAGGTCACTGGATTCAACCCTCATGTCAGATTGGACAAATTGACCGTTGACAGCTGTCAATACACTGTCAACGAAGAATAGAAAAGTAAATATTCTCTTTTCACATTGAGAGTTTGGGCTTTTGAGGGAGCTGAATTCAATTCTCATGCCAGATTGGCAAAATTGACAGTTGACAGCTGTCAATTGACTGTCAACGAGGAATATAAAAGTAAATATCCTCTTTTTACATTGAGAGTTTATGTTGGCCAACTCGCTAAATTCAATTCTTTTTAGAATTGGAGAAAATGGTAGTTGACAAACTCCCAATAACAAAAGATAATATTTTCTTCTTTATTCTACTTTGACAGTGAATTGACAGCTGTCAACTGTCAATTTTTCCAATCTGGCATGAGAATTGAATTCAGCGACCTCAAGAACCCAAACTCTCAATGTCAACAGAGAATATTTACTTCTCTATTCTTCGTTGACAGTGAATTGACAGCTGTCAACTGTCAATTTTTCCAATCTGAGATTAGAATTGAATTCAGCTCCCTCAAAAGCCCAAACTCTCAATTTGAAAAGAGGATATTTACTTTTATATTCCTCGTTGACAGTCAATTGACAGCTGTCAACTGTCAATTTTGCCAATCTGGCATGAGAATTGAATTCAGCTCCCTCAAAAGCCCAAACTCTCAATGTGAAAAGAGAATATTTACTTTTCTATTCTTCGTTGACAGTGTATTGACAGCTGTCAACGGTCAATTTGTCCAATCTGACATGAGGGTTGAATCCAGTGACCTCAAAAACATTACCCTATATATTAGAATAATTAAAATATGCTTTTGACATCTGTAAATAGTATTGAAAATGAATAGTTTTGCAACGGGTCAGGGGAGCTTTGGCAGCTCCGTAGCTGCCAAAATGTTCATTTTGGCACTTTGTGCCCATGGAGACTTTTGTTCAGGATGACAAAATCTACAACATATCAAAAATTCAGACAATTTGACAGAAACCCAATTCCCATAAGATTATTGCGGGGTCCAGATGCCAGATCCAGTGCTGTCAGTTATCGTAGCTTTTAGTTCTGGTCTGGGTGTTCAATGAGGCTGCTGCTGTAATTGTTTAAGTTTATAGCACACCTAGTAGATGAAATGTTAACCTTCTTCATGGCAGTCTTATTTCAAATACTAGCAAAACTTTTTATTAGGTGTTTCTTCCGTAAAATGTAAAATAAATTATTATTGACTCTAACCGCGGACATACTGTATAACTAAGCTTCAAATCGCTCAAAGCGAGGGTTGCACAACATTTAGTACCTTACGGCAATTATAAAATTAAGAAAAAATATATTAATATAATAAATATTATCCTGGCGAGAGGCAACTTTCACATTATTGAAAGACCGCACGCAAGTTGTAAAAACGTGATAAGTTTCAAAACCAAACAATATTTATTACTTCGGCAATTACGATTTTTTACATCCTGTTACTCAGAGAAACAATTAAGCACCAATTTGGTAACGATCTGTCGAGGAATCTAAAAGTAAAAACCTTCGGCTCACGCCCATCCAACAGAATTACCGTAATAACTACAACAAAATCACAGGGAATATGTACCTGTCGTTACTATTCGTTTTTTTTATTACATAATATTGACGCAACACCCGAGAGGCCGTGCAGAGACCAACGGCTGAAGTGGCACGGTTTTGGGCAGCTGGGAGTGGCGAGTTATCGAAACTGTGCCGCCCTACTTTTTAAGATACAACTAGGATGTTTTGTATCTCGGCGTAGCCACAGATTTGAATTGCAGATCGGTGATTTGAATTTGTTCTGTGTAGAATGGGTGCCTCGATGTGTAAATTTATTCACATAGGTGCTCGGTTGGCCTTTAAGAATAGAAATCGAAACCCCGTTTCGTCTCACAAAGCATCACATTGTTCGTGTACATGTCGATACACAAAATACGGTTGTCGTAAAAATGTTTCATTGATATTCGGGAATTTTATGGCCGCAAGGACGAACTAATTCTTACCGATGCTTTTAATCTTGGTTGTAATGCCGTAACTGGTTTACTAAAACATCCAATATGGATCTAAATAATAACTTGCAATGTTGTCAAATTGTCAACGAGGCAGGCGTACGCATAACAGACATCTGCAAACAAGTCGGGCATTTTTCCGCATTAAAATGTAAATGCTGTATTGGGAAGGCGAAAGAAAACGTGACTCGGTAAGGTCAAGGTGTAGAGTCGTGTGTCTCGCATCATAGGATCGGTATGGAGGCAGAAACGGCGTTGTCCAACCCATGCACAGCCTTACCTTGGAAGTATTGTTTCAGTTGGCCGATCCGTACACAGTTAACTTGCATTTTTGCGACGATAATTATATGTGGGCCGCCCGTATTACTCCTACAATCTGTATTTGCAAACAATTTCCACATAGAAACGTTTTTAAATAAAAATAATTGAATGAAAAAAAAAATTTTAGGAGAAGTAGTTTGTCCACATCAGAAACTGTTATCAGAATATTTCAAGAAATAGGTACATTTTATCCATGAATCAGATTAAGTATTTCTGAATTTAAGAAGAAAAAAGAGACGTTGGGGATAACATTTTACTAAATGGAGTACAACGTCCTGAATATCTTTTGAGAGAGTTCAATTGAAAATAATTGCAGGATTCTGAACTGTTTTAAAAATGACCTCACTGGTTTTGAAGTTTTAATTAAAAAAGTAGATAGTAGATTCATTTATGCCCATACAAAATATAAATATTTAGGATTTGCTAGACTTTTTAAACAAACATGTTTCAAAAGTTTTTGCTTAAAACTTGTGTTTTGGAAGATAAAAGCCTTAGATGCATTTGTATAAATGTTTTTTTACACAAATGTTTGTAGACAGTTTTTTACGACTTTTTATGACTATATAAATTACAAATCATTATACAGGGTGTCCATAATTGAATGGGTCATATCTTAAGAGTAGCTTTTTTTGGATGATAATGTTGTTAATACTTACTTACAATTAAGCGATCTGGGGATCCCACATATTAAATGCAGAAAATTAATTGATTGTTTATGAACTGTTTAACATAATTATTGTATTATTGAGTTCTAATGATACAGTCAAGTGCAAAGCAGCAAATTCCCTACATGATCCTTACATGAAATTATTTTGTCATATAGTCTATAATTAAGAAACAAATTAAAATAATCCCCATTAGTATAATTTACACGATCCCCAAGCATTGTTGTTTAAATTTTTGACAAAACGGTATTTATTATTACAGATATAACGATAATTTGACAACTAACTTGACAAATGTCAAGTTATTTAATTGTTTTTAAAGTGTTTCTGATCATGGCCAATTTGATAACAGGTCTGATGAGAAAAACTGTCCAAAAAATAGAAAATTGCAAATACTTATATGACTTGAAAAGAAATTTCAATCTGTATACGACAGAGTAAAAAATACAGGTGTCCCATTTAAGTTAACAAAGTTATAGCTGTCTGAAGTTAGGTATCAAAATGTAACAGCAAAAATTAAACACCTAGTATTAAATGTTTTAATTTGTTGTTATGCCATAATTTAGTGTTACCTATGACCTGTATAGGTACCAAAAATCCACTTGATATCACGCTCCTGAAAAGAGTTACTAGCATCTCCACGGACCCTTGCATCTGTCAAATTTTTTATTTAAAAATTAATATCTCAAAATCTATAACTCCTAAGTATAGGGAATATTTAAAAAAGTGACCCTAAAATTTCGCGTATAATACGAAATTGCAATAATATATAGGGTGTTCCATTTAAAATAAGAAAGTTAATGTCGGTTTCCGGTATAACCGAAAGTGCTATAAAGTTCTAATTATTTTAGCTGTGTTGGCCCTACTGCCTTTGTTAAATTGCCAAATTTTTAGATTTATCGGATCAGTGCTTTCCGAGATATTGATAGTGGCGATT